TGACGTCACAATATACAATTTCGTACAAAATTCATAGAAAACTGTCGTTTTTGACAGTTCAAAAAAAATATTGAATTTGACTAGTTGTCAAATAGCCAATTCTTAATCAATCTATATTCTATTTTATACCACACCACACGATGTCACATCACAACGGAGGCCGACTACTCTAATCTTTACAGAGCCATCTATCGGCAATGCGCAGTAAAAAAGCAGGAAGTATGACGTCACAGCTCCGTATGGAGTGGATCGGCCCTTTGATGTCTCTGCTCACCGCATTGTCTGTCAACCGTTGAACAACCACGAGAGATGTGAACTTCAAACAAAAAATATTTCGTGCTAATGCGTCGGTTTTAAACTGGAATTTCGTAATAGTCAAATCTTAAATAACTTTTCAATAGATGCTATAGTAAAACATTAATTAATATCTATAATAATAATCACACATTTTTTCCAAAATTAATATTTGTACACTTATGTAGTTTTCTAGCTAATTGTTACAAGCAATTTAAAAATACTCATGTATACCTATTTTACTTAAGTACATATTCTTATGGAGTTTCTTGCTCGTTCTTCTCCGTAAGAATCTGCACCTTGGAATGAGCAAATAATTTCACTTTAAATTTTTTCTTTGTTGTCGTTCAAAAGTGCCTTCCTGGTATAATTGAAATAAATGATTTCTACTTTGACTTTGACATAGTAAGGAAAGCTACCTACAGGAAATTACACTTCTTCTTCATCTTCTGGTTCTGGTCTAGATATAAAAGGTTGTTAAAAAGTTCAAAGGTAATAATTAAAAATGTCTACAAACTTCCATAACAATAATAATATGATAGTAACTATTTTCAAGGTTGATTGTGTAACTAGTTCGTTGTCGAGATATTATTTTATCCACAATCTTCTTAATACTAGTCATAAAACGAGATAGCGAGGGATTACGGCAACTTGGGAGAACCTATCTCAACGATACTGAATAGCGCTGAAAGTAGGCAAGATAATAAAATCTACATTTTCAGTCTAATACCTAAACCATTATCTATTTTATGGTCTAGATTTTAGGTCTCAAGTTTGATAAATCCTGTCTTTTATACTTTTATAATATTTATTAAAATCGCCATTAATTAGTAAAAATAATAATAATAGTTTATTTTCAAACATTACGTAGCCACACAAAACATGAAAATAAAACAAACAAAAGCTGTGTGACGAAAATATTAGTCGTCACTGGCCACATTATAATTTCATTCGTACCACATAGAACAATGCACTCAATAGCTTTGCGAAAAGAGTTATTATCGTTTAACAAAAAGTTGCAATTATGGCTCTTTCTGAAATAAACATTTTGGTTTCCTTCCCGTATTCAAAATTGTATTTAGAATGCTCTAAATGAAGTTGTTTGAAAAACAAAAGACGAATGATGGGACGTTTAGCTTAATATCACATTATAATTTGAATGTAAATGTCGCGAACTCCCGAAAGATGAGATTTAAGTTGGTGGTTTAAAATGAGTTTAGAAAGATTATGGGCTTTGGCTGACTGGCTGAGTCTTGAGTGGGTTTATTTATGGAATGATTAAGTAGGTTCTGTAACCACAAAGTGTTTCTTAAGAGACTTGTCCTTTTGACCTTCTGTCTTGCATAAATGTGTTTGTATTTTGTGTATGTGCCAATGGCCATTAATTAGGTAATGAAATAGAAACTAAACGTATTAGTAAGTAAAAAGTATCACCATAGAGTTAGTTGTACAGATGTGCGCATAATTTAATGTAACTTTTGCTTTTTGATTGCCTCATTGGCTGATTGGTCGCAAGTGCGACTACCGGGTTCGATTCCCGGGTCGGACAAAGTGTTGTTAAGATTATAAAATAATTTTCAGTGGTAGCATGGGGTCTGGGAATGCGCCCGGTATAGGGCAATATTCTCACCCCCTATTACATGGGTGTCGTCGGTGTCGTAATATAAATATTGAAAAATGAGTGTTACATTGTACAGTGGCATTAAGTGCCGTTATCTGCCTTCTTCTTAGGAGACAAAAGGCGTGATGTTATGCTGTTATCGTTTTTTGAAAGTGAATCTACGAAATCTACCCATGTCAAAGGCGCGAGTTTAACACCCAGGAATTGCTCGGTCTTCGCTCATTTAGTCATGAATCAATCGACTAAAGTTAAAATCCATGATTCCGACACTATGATTTAAATTTAAAATAGTTAATATATATTATTCTAAAACTTTTAACATCTAACCGACACTTATTAATTTATTAATTAGTTTAAAATATCATCCCATGATTATAATTCCACCGTAATCACAAGATCGACTCCAAGTGAAGTGATACGGTCAATTATTTTGGAATATCTAATTAATTGTGGCTTGAAAGGTGTGATTGATTGATTAAGTTTCTAATATCGTAATAGGCAGACATTTGTATGTATTAATTAACCTTTAATGACTGATAGACGTTCTTAGAGACCTTGTAATCTAATTGAAATATGTATAGAGGGTTTGAACGTTAACTTGATGCGATCATCTTAAAGTAACTTGTTTAATTCTTACGTCCTATAAATATACTACTCAAAACAAAAAAAAGCAACATACTGAGTGTATCTTCATTTAAAGTTAACGTGGTCGAGTGGGATGTACCGACGGAGCTGACTGGAGACATTTCTCCGCTCCGCAAAGCATCATCCTCAGGGTTGTCGGCTGTAATATTTGGGGCGCCCCTCTCTTCTCCCACCCCGACTCATAATAAATATCCTTTAAGTTTAAAACATTATAATACCTTATTATCCTATCTACTTACGGTTATTTAAAATTCTCTAAGCCCCTTGTAAAGGCTTTTCTCGAACGCAAACACGACAGTCGGCTTATGAAGGGTTATTCATAATAATATAAGTAAACGACGTTTAGAACGTAAGCCTTTAATTACACGGCACGACAGGACTTAGTTACAATGAGATAATTACTGTATAATTGGGATGATGACAGGGTATGAAAATTAAAAATCTAATTAGTCCGTAAGTTAGGTAATGAAAAAATATTAGACACGTATTTTTTTATTTAGTCGAATAATAAAACAATACTTAGATAAAACGAATCAAAGTTTAGTAGTGGGGGCTAAAACGTCATTTCTTTTTTTTTTAAACGTCAAAACAAAAATTATTGAAATATTTAAAAAATGTTCGAGCTGGCAATTCCAACTTATGCGTTAGGTATTGCGAGTGTCCATAGACAGCGCAGCGCTTCATTAGGTAGGTACCATTCAAGAATATTCGAATTGGCCATATCAGTTTAAAAAAATAAAAATTGTTAAGTATTTACTATTCCAGAATTGTAAATTTAGAAAAACCGCAATAGATTCGTTCTAGTCGTCTAGATCGTAACAAAACTATATGGTGTAAGGTTGGAATTATGCTATATAAAATGTATGGTAGGTAATGATGACGTATTTGGACCAAATTCCTTAAAAAATATGCTGGGACGGTCTTTATATCTGAAATGATAGTATGATCTCAAAGTAAACAATACGGTAGCTACTGGTTAAACAGTAGGCCCACGGGTAAAACAATTATCTGACTATAGTTACCCACTTACTATGTTTAACAAGGTGTTACACTGTAATCACTGTTTATCTTGTTTTTACTTGACTGCGACATTTTTAGTCAAATTTCCGTGGTGCTTGGCGACTGGGCTTCACCCAGTTGTACAGTCTCTTCTTTGTGCCTTTAGGCTTAATTCATTCTATCTCCTGCAGTAATTCACCGAGGGAAGTGGAAACCATAGTTTTTTCTTCTTCTCCTCTTATAATATCTTCTGATTCACTTCGTTGCGGGAACCAAGACAGTTACTCATGTCCCTGGGACGCGCCGGACTTCAGTGTTCCGGTGTTTTCATGATTGTATCTACTGTAGATCCTGGCTTACAGGAGTTGCAGCGGTTTTGGGAGGTTGTGGCGGGCTTGTCCCTTAAAAAAATAATATTACTGCGATATCCAGTAGCTGTGCTCATAAACTCAGATGCAAATTAAGCCGAAGGAGCGCCCTAGACAACCACGTCTTAGACGCTAATTTTTTAGCGCCTTAGGCAGGTAGCTAAATTGGCGTAGTGTTATTTCGACTCTGATATTACTGCATAGTACAATATTGCTCTACAAAAAAAATGCTTCGGAAATTCTAAACGATATGAAAAAAAAATTTCACCTGTTACTTGACCAAAAAACTGGCAATCGAGTATTCTCGCCGCCATTGCATGGAAGTGCTCAATTTAACCGGAGCTAAGCTAACGAGTTAACTAAAACCGCGTAAGGTTCAGGAAGGCAGCCCAAGGAACGTGCGCCACTAAGCCGTCGCAGCCGCGCGGGCGAGCGTCCGCAGCGCACATTACAAGGAGCGTTGCCTGGCAACGAGCGCGTGACGTCACGTGCTGTAGACCTTCTAACGAGAGCTAGTGATCACATACAGTGGTAACATCACACTAAAGAACACACTTCCAATCGGAGAGCTCGAATTACGAACCGTGTGCTTATCTTACAGAAAATTCTGCTAGCGCTATGTAGAACTTTTGATTATAACTCCTTCGTATTATGCATATTTCAATCCAAATTACAAAATAAAAGTGTAAAAATATATGACTACTATAATTTGTGTAATTTCTTTCGCTAATTTTGAAATGTATACGTTTTTCTCAGCATTTTTAGAAACGTCGAAATGAATATTGTTAACAACGCCATCTAGTAAAATAAGTTGAAAGTATTTTAGTTCCAATGATATTTTTTTTTCAGTGTTGTTTTTTTCTTGTATTGTTAGGTCTGATTGGTAATTTGTGTAGTAATGTTGGTCTACTATTTTCAGTAAATTAATTGTTTTATTTGGTTTTACCAAAAATTTCATGTATTTAATTGTATTCCACTTGCTAGAGCATTAGTTGCATTCAACTTCAACCAACGACGTACATCATACAAATATGGTTTCGTTTTTTTTAAAACATTTTTTTTATTTGTTCCAGAATATCAAATAATGAAAGGGATGAAAGTCCGGGGACAGATGGCAATGTCTCCCCAGAGCCACCTGACCGGCCCCCTGGGAAAGTGCGACAAGTGCACCCAGAGGAGAAGACACAAGTGCTTGCCTACGACTCAACGTATCGCAAGAAAAATAAACCGAAGAACCTCCCTTTAGAAGAAAATCATTACAATCATTTGGCGAACACGAATGTTGCAATGTCGCCAATGTATCCTTTGACGCCGAACATTTGCGTAGAGGGTGGAAAGATTGAGTTCATAAAGTCGCCACCAGGGAGCGCTAGAAATAGCGTGGCGCTAGCGTCGCCGCCGCAAACTCCTCTGCTGGCGCGACGCGGCTCTCGTGAGAAACGCGAAGCTCGTATCTACGATGAGCCGACGGAGAAGTTCGATGGTGATAAGGTAGGTGGCGCTGGTGCTAGTAGCTTTTTTTTATTTTAAATTATTTTTTATACTCCGATGTCTTCAATCAACACTCAACTAGCTTAACTACTTAAGTGCTACATACTTACTGCGAAATGAAAACATAAAAATGTTTCCTCGTAAAATTCTGCAGAAAAAACAGTTTCGGATGGTTCCTGATGGTTTAGACTGGGATACATTTATGCATCTTGCTAATTCCAGACTATGTTATGCCTTATGGCCGAGCACATTGTCAAGCATCTTGTTGATTTTCGCTTAATTATACCGATTGAATTGATTATTACTATGATGTGACATATACCTGACAATTATTATTATATTTTTTTTTTCTTTTCTTTATGATTTGTAATATCTACCTACAATGTTAATAACAATGAATGTGTACCTACATAACTAAAAATGTTGCAATGTCTGTAAGAGGCCGCTAAGTATTAAGCACTGTAATAATTTTATAACCATCACCTGTACACTTAGTTGCAATAAACGCTTTGACTTTGACTTTGACTTTGACTACCATGTTACACAATTTCCCAAAAACGATTCGTGTTACGACACCCTGCCTATATATTTTGCATACCCTATGATATTTTTCTCCTTTTTTAAAACATACAAACAAATTCGCCAAGACCAAATGTCGTACTAAAAGTTTTATACCCAATTCAAATATGGCTATTTTCCCTTGAATTCTTTTGCAAAACTTACAAGTTTGGGGCGCATTCAATTTAAAACTCATGCAAAGCATACTGACCCTTGTCAAAAGTCTTTTTCAAGTCCACACGTTTCGGTGTGTTGCTGTTGTGGTGCAATTTCTATATTTTTTAAAAGCATTCTCGTGTTTATTTTTTGTTTACCTTTCAAATCATTATTTTGGTTTTAAGATTCAAATAAAATGATGATGACTCAGTAAAAAACAATTGTTCCCACTTTTTTATTTCTTTTTTAATTTTAATATATACACAGTGATCGAGTGAAAAATAGTGTTATTAGAGAAAAGTGTGGATTAAAAGATGAATTAGCGACAAGGATTGAAAAGGGAATGTTACTCTGGTTTGGACATGTAGTAAGGATGGATGAAAGTAGAGTAACGAAAGAAGTATACAGAGCGGATATGAATGGGGCCATCAGTAGAGGGCGCCCTAGACGGACATATAGTGACCAGATTGGCGATATATTAAAGAAGGGCCAAATTAAAAGTACCCTTAACCGACGATCATGCATGAAAAGATTGATGACTGTTGATGAAGCGAAAGAGGTATGTTGGAATCGTAGTAATTGGCGTTCCCTAGGCAGAGGCCTACCCCCATGGGAGACAAGCGTGAAGTTATGTATGTATGCATATACACAAGTATGAGTTTATAAAATAAATTATAAAAAAATCTTATCTTAGACTAACATTTTAAAATCAAAATGCCGAAACACTTAGAACTTACAATTCCCAAACGTTTTTTTTAAGTCTCTCCCCCAAGACCTTTTAAAACCTACTCCAAATTAAACATCAAAGTCAAAATTGAACAAAATAAAATAATATTTTGATCACCCAAATAGCTTAAGTACGTTAAATCCATATTTCGCATCCCTTAATGGAACCGAAGGGGCCATATGTAATTGAAGGGATGCAAGTTAATGCGTCTTTAGTCGACACTAAATTGTTTTTGAAAGCTTTTCCGATATCTCTGCTCACCCCCAAATTGACTCAAAAGACTCTTAGGATACTTTTTTGATTAGGGATTTAGGAGTTTGTTTTCGATATTTTTTAGCTTGTATTTTGGTAAAGCCAAAAAGAGAACCATTTGGATTATAATGCGAGCGTGTTTCTCAATTTATTTAGGTAATTTTTAAAAAGAAGAAATCTATCTATGTCTTCTTTAGACTTAGGTTCAGATATCCAGAATATTCCATGTAAATTAAAAACCCCATTTTCTCAAGCGATAATCAATTAACATCCTAAAACTAATCCTGCAGCTGTAGCCAAATGCCATTTAGCGCTTGTCTACATGTAGAATAGAAAACCAAATTATATGGGATTGACGTAAATTTTGACACTTATATGGGATTGACGACTGGGCACTGGGCCTTTAGCCAAACGCCACTTTAGCGCTTGTACAGAGAGAGTAGAAATCAAAATGTATGGGGATGACACTGACAAGAGCCAAAATATACGTCAATTCCATAGAATTCGGTTTTCTACATGTAGACAAGCGCTAAAGTGGCGTTTGGCTAAAGGCCCTGATTACATTTACACAACGATAAATCTATACCTGATATAGGTAATACCGAAGAACCAATCACACAAATAAAATTCCGCCATCGAAATTAAATTCAAGCACAGACTAGGATATCTGTTCGAAAACTTATTGCACTCTAGACCATGCAAATGCGATAGGAGACCGTAAATTGAATTAATTGCTCAGATTCTAAGTAAATCGAGTCTGTGTGGTGCTCATGCATTCTATTATCTAACTATTTTATGGTGGGAAGAAATTGTAGGTCCTAATCGAGGTGCTTTAATGGGAAATGTAACTAATGCATGTGCTTGTTTGAAGTAAATAATTTAAGGAGTTGCTATAAACAACACTTAACATAACATTACGTCTTTTATCCCCGAAGGGGGTGTTTTTTAAGAGGGGAAAATCATCGAATGGAAGGAGTGTCAGACTCTTACTGACTAAAAACCATCCCGTTCCTTCTTCTGGACGTCGAGCCGGAATCCCGGTTACCCGTTAGGTTCTCCGCGATCTCCGAAAGGGTAGGCATAGGTGTACATTACGGCACTTAATGCCGCTGTACAATATAACACCCACTTTTCACTAATTATGTTATGAGTCCCATGTAATAGGGGGTGAGCCTATTGCCATATACCGGCCACAACTCCAGACTCCGTGCTACTACTGATAATCTTTGAAAAAACCCAGTAATACTTTGCCCGACCCGGGAATTGACCCCGAGACTCCTTGCCCGGCAGTCGCTCTTGCGACCACTCGGCCAACGAGGCAGTCCGTCAGTTGCTATAAACATTGGAATGGCAACAAGGCAAGTCTAAAGAAGAGGCCTTTACGATCATTAAAGTAAAGTATTGCACTGTTGCAAGAAAAGTTTGTCGAAAGAATTCAATTCATAAACAATACGTTATTCAGTCGTACGTAATGGGTACTCATAGTTCAGTAGTGTCACAGGTCACACTCTGTTCATATTGATAATTTGATTATAGATTACTGTTGAATTATAAAAAGTAACCATGTTATCAAAATGTAAGAATATGCTTAGATTCAGAGGAATACCAATCACAGTTTAACTTTAAAAATTAATAAAAGATGGTAAAACCCGTTCCATGATTTATGGCTTAAAAGGTTTAAGCAAGACTTTATTAAAACTATATAAGCGACTTGGAGACAACACCTCAATTTTCGTACCACCAACTTGGAAGTCCAGAGAAACCAATCACCTATTTAACTATGCAAATCGGTTTCCGATAATGCTCCGTCTCAGACGCTTCGCAGATTTCGCCTTGTACCACATCGTCAGTGATAGCTTTATTCATATTAATGGTCCTACTAATGCCAATTTAGTTCCGAAGATAGTGGTTTTGTGTGAAAAGGACTCCAATTTGTCGAGGATTTACGGTGTAATTGACTGGAACTGTTGAAATATTAAATTAGTCCTTGGTAGATGATAAATTCTCCAACAAAGTCGATAAAGTAAAATTATAATGAACGAATTTCAATAAAAGGAGGTTGCAATGCATCTTTGTAACGCAATTCTTACTAGTAAAACCTCTTTACACAACAACGATGTGAAACAAGAAAAAAAATAAGTACCCATTCAAAAAGTTGACAATTATGATATTGACATTATCAAAGCCTTTCGAACAAAATAAACTAACCTGCATGTAACCGATTTTTGTTTAGGAAAATAGATAGGTAACAAAATTTTTAATGATAACAAGCAGGGCACAGGAACAAGAAAACAACAAAATCATGAATCCTGCATCATATCTGGTGGCTCAGCTGGAAGAGAACCATCGGATCATCTACCTACTGTTACTGGTGATGTTTATAATCTTTGTGGTGCTAGATGTCAGGAGTCGTAGTCCTACGAAGTCCATTCTGCCCGAAGAACTAGTCAACGATACCAAAGCTTGCGAGTCCAACACGTCTGCAAAGAAAAAGAATTGTCAAAATGACCTCAAGGAATCTGTTTTGATTAAGAAAGCTGAATAAATCATCGTTTGTGTCGATTCTGTACGAATTTTTATATTTTTATGCATTTGTAGTGACTTACACTGCCTTCTTTACAGTGGTACTATTCTTCAATAGATAGATTTTTTCTTCATAAGACTAACTCTGTAAGAAAAGAACAAAAGTATTAACTACTGTGTTGCCGGCGACTTCGTTCGCGTAGATTTATGATTCCTATTTTATCCCATGGGAGCATTTAATAGGGATAAAAGTCAATTTAGTAGAATTCTATCACCTAACTCAGCTCATACTCTGCCTGTATCAAAATCCTTTCTGTAGTTTCAGCGTGATCGACGGACTAACACCCAAACATTGAAACAAAGAAACTTTCACATGATAATATTAGTGTGAAATGTGATACAACTAGGTACAATTCATTGATTGCACATATTAAACAATGTTGAATTTGAACCAAAACAAAGTGACATACTAAATCATACTAGATTTAAACTTAACGCAGTTCCCATATCAATAGACATAGGCAATTGAGTTCAGTAGCAAGATTACATTTCCCATTACCATTTATAGAGAGATCCCCCATAACGCACCATAAGGTCTCATAACGTGGCAAACACAGGTAATGACAAGCTTCCATTAGTGTGGAGTACCACAGGTAGTACAGTTGTCTCCGTAGTTGTCAGTAATATGGATATTGACTTGAGATTTAGGGACAAGTGGGTAGGCTATTGTTAAGGTATTATAAGGTGACGTCATGGGGTTTAATATATTGCGCTAAAGTAGTAA